GGTCAGGTGGGCTTCCTGAGTGACTCAGAAGGCTGGTGGTTCCCATCCTCCACCCCACCCCCGTCCCATTGTGCGGACCTCAGAAGAGAATCATCCACGTTGGCCTGGTCTCCCGCTAGGTCAAGCTTGTTCTGGAGAACTCGCCCGCTGGGCGTCCGAGCAGGGCACCCCTTGAGTCACAGTGCTGGGAAGTGGTGGAGCTGGATTGGGGCCAGTTCCCCCCAATGCCAGGCCCCCCAATGCCAGCCCACCCGGTTGACATCTCTGCCCCCCGACATCCTGTCGTTCGGTTATTGCAGGACCTGTCTGGTAGGGTCTTGAGATCTGCCCTCAGGAGAACAGCGAGGACTCCAGACACCGCGTGGGAGTCAGAGAGCCAGGGTTGATTAAAAGTGAAGGAGCCAGGGCCTCCCTGGTGGGGCAGGGGTTACGTATCAGTGCTGGGAAGTTTCCCGCAGCCACAGTGGCCTGAGCTCGGCCAGCCAGGAGTGACCCACAGGATGCAGGCCTCTCCCGTCTCCGGCTGCTCCCCTCAGCAGTGTATTTGGGTCAATCTGCCTATTCTGCTCCCCACACCTCTGGTCTGTACCCCAGCTCTTACATGCATAAATAAATGGAGCCAGAGCCCCTTTCACAGAAGCAGCTCCTGGACCAAAGTGTCTAATAGCCTCCACAGGGCCCCTGCTGGGAGGGGACAGGTCACATCACATGCAGGGTCCCCCCCTTGCATGTTCGGGGTGGTCCCTCTGTGGCATCTGCAGAGTTGGAGGTCTTGTCCTGCCCAGGTTTGGGGAGTTTAGCGCACCCTGGTGAGTCAGGGGCTCTCACTGCAGGCTCCATGACCTGCCGAGAGATGCAGAGGGATGCTGAGGTGAGGCCCCAGGCACGGCAGGCTCACCCGTCCCCCCGCTGCTCCCCTCAGCAGTGTGTTTCAGTCCATCTGCCTGCTCTGCTCCCCACTCTGTCTCTGGTGAAGCCTCTCACCATCCCTGCGCCTCTGGCTGTACCCCAGTTCTATATGCATAAATAAATCTTTTTTTAAAAATTGAAGCTTTAAAAATGTTTTCTTTAAATGGTTTATTCTCCCCCCACCCAAGGCTCTTGTTCCATCCACCCTCCTGCACATCAGCAGAAGCTTAGTCCAGGGTGGGGGTGGTACATCAGAAACATTGGAGCTTAGATTAAATTTGGGGGTGGGGGACTCTGGAAAATAGCACCCCAGGATTTATCGACCCCTCTAAGGCCAGCTCCTGGGTTACCAATGAGAGCAGGGAACAGTCCCAGATTCTGCACTCAGGTGGGAGTTTGGGTGAGGATGGGCTCATTTCCAAGCTCAAGCAGTCAGCCACCTGCCTCAGGGCCCTGCCGTCCGTGAGAAGGGGCAAGCACGGGTGTGCAGACAGCTTGGAAAGGGGTTGCTTCCCTGTGCTGTCCTTCTTGAAGAGTACCTTAGCTGTCAGGGGTGTGAGCAGCGAGCCCCTGTTTCCGGATGTTGCTTAACTCAAGGCCTGTAAATCCAAGAGCCATCCCCAGGAGTGCCAGGATGAACAGCCCCCCATCTCTCCTCTGGTGCACTTCTTCCACCAGATTTATTTATACATACAGAACTGGGGTTCAGGCCAGAGGTGCAGGGGTG